AAAATATTTTAAAAATCCGCAAACCTCAAATGGGCTACTAGTGGAAAAAATAGTATATTAATCACTCGTTCTCAGGTTCTAATTTGCGCTTGTTCTGGAATGATTGTCTTCACAATCTTGGTTAATAATATACTACAATACGACTTATCGTCTTTTTATAACCTGGAATTGCATTTTCAGACATATCTTACGTTTAAAAAAAAACAAACGAAATACATGGTCACCATGTCCTGTTTCTTAACGTGACAATGTTGCCGTAAGTCTTATTAACTCCCCAATCCAAACTTCAAACAGTTTAAAATAACTTAACCGTTTTTCCATACATAGGTAATGGAAAATACAATGTTTACTAAAATTACAATTTTAATATAGTAACGTTGATCGTAGTTAAAAAATCGACGTGGGTAAAACTCAACAATTTATTTCTTAATAACTCGAATTTATACGACTGATTACACAGCGATTACTCATTAACTGAATAATTCCGACCTGATTGGAATGGATTTGACTAGACTCTACTTCTCCCATTGTCCGGACTTCACTGACTGCTCCCGACGGTGGTTCTCATTTAAAGAACCACGCGGTTCTTCTCGAAACGCCTCCGTCACCGCTTCTAGACTTGTCTGCGGCACTCATCGCGACTTCCGCTTCCAGGCTCTTCTTCATCATCATCGCACATACTAGAAAACCCATAGGCCTCCTACCGAGGCGGCGTATGGGTTTATTTCGTAACGATACTATTTATATATTTTATACACAATCAACTTATAATAGGATTTTAATACACACTTCTAAACCGTTTTAACTAACACTTTATCCTCTAGTGGGATAAAGTTAGTTTATTCCACTCTTACACAACTCAATCAAATTTATTGAATAATTACTTATTTACATTAACATTTATATTTAAAGTAACACATGCCTTTGATATTTTGACTTCGGTGTCATTGATGCCCATCTTTTTCTCGATATTTTTGGACTGGCACAGTTTTTGACAAATTTATACAAAATGTGAATTTGTCTTTTTGGTCGAAAAAAAGCCGCGCAATTTTTCTTGAGATTCAAAAAATATAACAGCATGACTTCCTCATTGATTGTCCTTACTTGGCGTTTTTCTCTCTACATGTTATTAAATTCAGCAAATTCTTTTTCGTAATATTTTTTAGACTTGCCTGGTAATAAACGTAGAATTGCTTCTTGGGCCTCTTCAAAGATTTCTGAAGGAATAATTCAATTTCTTCCATTTTCGCCAGTTTTTCGAGCAAAACGAAAAAACAATAAACAATAGGTAACTAATCTAACGAATGCGGCGCGCCATAGCTTTCTCAGTTTCACCAAATTCTAGAAGGTGTGATGTGTCGGGATATTCTTTTATTAAATTAGATGAATTTCAATTTGTGCTTGTGATAATGGATAAAATGTTGTATTGCATTCGTGTTTTAGCCACGTTTTATCTTTGTCCACTTAAGAAAATTAAACGCTCGGACTGCGTTCTCGCGTTTAAACATTCTTGCGCTGTCTAAAACACTCTTACAACCAATTACCCGACCCGTTTTTTTTTTAAGAATGTGAAATCCCCTCGGAGGTCCCAACTATCTTTCTTTTTTTACTTCCCGAGCGTAAGCAAAGGAAGCATTGTAATCGAGTCCGTCGGCCGACTCTCTACGTTTACGTTTTCTCGATCTTTCATGACCCCTAGAAGACGAAGAAATAGGTCTCCCATTTCCGTCTGTCTGTCCGTCTGTCCGTCTGTCCGTCCGTCTGTCCGTCTGCCGTCCCGGATTTTTATTAGACAGATAATCTCCGAAAGTACTCGACCGATTGTTGTGAAATTTTGTACTTATATTAAGAATATCATGTAGATGGTAAAACGCTAACCAAAATTTGTCTAATCATCCCCACCACTAATGCGATGACGTCACTTCAAAATTGTACGTAGTAAATGGGTTTTCAATTGTATAAAATAACATAGTCCTACACATGTAGTTTACAACTCTGAATCGACTTTTCACCCGAAACGTCCAGATTTTTGGAAAAAAAATCAAAATTATAAAACAACATTTTGAAATTTAATTTTTAATCTGCTAACCAGAATGCTTTGAAATGTTGCAGATGTTTTAAGGCTATAAAGAGCATCATAAATCTTTAGTCAAAAAATATTTGCTTATCCCCTCCAAAAACTTGATGACGTCAGCTCAAAAGTTTGTGGAATAAATCATATCTAAAATGTACAAAATATGATGAGTCTGTACTTGTGATCTATCACTCCATTCATATTTTTTGGATTTGCATATACAGGGTGACTCAAAAAAATTAATGAATGCGTAAATATATTTTATTGATTTAATCAGGAACTACAAAACCGAATGCTCTGAAATCTTGCAGATGTTTTAAGGTCATAAAGAGCATAATAAATGTTTAGTCAAAATATATTTGCTTATCCCCTCCAAAAACTTGATGACGTCAGCTCGAAAGTTTGCCGAATAAATCATATCTAAAATGTACAAAATATGATGAGCCTGTACTTGTCATTTATCACTCCATTCATATTTTTTGAATTTGCATATACAGAGTGACTCAAAAAAATTAATGAATGCGTAAATATATTTTATTGATTTAATCAGGAACTACAAAATGGAATGCTCTGACATCTTGCAGATGTTTTAAGGTTATAAAGGGCATAATAAATGTTTAGTCAAAATATATTTGCTTATCCCCTCCAAAAACTTGATGACGTCAGCTCGAAAATTTGCCGAATAAATCATATCTAAAATGTACAAAATATGATCAGTCTGTACTTGTGATCTATCACTCCATTCATATTTTTTGGATTTGCATATACAGGGTGATTCAAGAAAATAAATGAAAGCGTAAATTTATTTTACTGATTTACTCAGGAACTACAAAACCGAATGCTTCGAAATCTTGAAGATATTTTAAAATTATCATAAGCATGGTAAATTTTTGATCAAAACGTATTTGGTCGTCCCCCCTAAAAAATTTATGACGTCACCACAAAATTTTGCTGAATAAATCCTATCTAAAATGTACAAAATATGGTGAGTCTCTTCTTGTGATTTATCATTCCATTCAAATTTTTTCGATTTGCATATACAGGGTGACTCAAAAAAATTAATGAATGCGTAAATTTATTTTATTGATTTAATCAGGAACTACAAAACCGAATGCTTTGAAATCTTGAAGATGTTTTAAGGTTATAAAGAGCATAATAAATTTTTAGTCAAAATATATTTGGTTATCTTCTACAAAAAACTGATGACGTCAGCTCAAAAGTTTGCCGAATAAATCGTATCTAAAATGTACAAAATATGATGAGTCTGTACTTGTGATTTATCATTCCATTCATATTTTTGGATTTGCATATGCAGGGTGACTCAAAAAAATTAATGAAGGCGTGAATTTATTTTATCGATTTAATCAGGAATTACAAAACCGAATGCTTTGAAATCTTGGGAATATTTTAAAGTTATTATAAGCATGGTAAACTTTTGTTCAAAATGTATTTGTTCATCCCTCCTAAAAAAATTGATGACGTCACCCTTAAATTTTGCTGAATAAATCCTATCTAAAATGCAAAAAATATGTGGAGTTTGTACTTGTGATTTATCATTCCATTCATATTTTTTAGATTTTCTTAAGAGGTGGTTCAAAAAAATTAATGAAGTCAGTTTATTTTATTGATTAAATTAAAGGCAACACTTATTATTAGCATTACACCCCAACCAACCCAATTTGGTATACACAAAATTTGTTAAAGGAAAAACTCGGTTGAAACATAAGGGTAGCACGCTTATTTACATCGACTTTAACATTACAGACCTGCATTTGTTTTATGCGCTCACTTGGTTCCGTGAATGTGAAATAGACATGTTTATAATCAACCAATTGTGAATTTCACCGTCAAGAATTAAAATAAAACCCAATGTTTTATATAATAAGCGGAAGTCGAAGCAATAAAACCGATGGTCGTTTTGTTTACAGTTTCTCTGTTTGACTCTCACGTATGCTGTTACGCCTGTCATCTTAAATTAAGAATGTTTATACATACACGATTTTCAGTTGCCTCTGATACGTATACGTGAGTAAATTGTTTCGTTATTTTATTGATTATTACAAATCAATATTCAAAACGACCCAATTCATTTTCCCGAAAATTTGAGAATATAATAATTTTATTCTTAGTATTACACTACATCTATCCCAACTGATATACGTGTCCTTGCAAAAATGTTGATGACGTCATCTCGATTTTTTTTTTAAATTCCCACTACAAAAATGTAATGAGAAAAAAAACACAATAGGCATGCAGTCGTCAAGTTTCCGACAGCGAGGGAAGTACTGTCTAAACTCTTTAGACCAATTTTTTTTAAATGTGAAACCTCGAGACCTCCTGTCTTTTTTATAGAATGTGTAACCTTCTCAGGAGTCCCAACTGTCTTTTTTTCAAAGAAGGTGAAACCTTCTCGGGGGTCTAACTGTCTTTTTTTAAAGAATGTTATACTTTCTCGAAACCCTAACTGTCTTTTTTTTTAATAATGTGAAAGCTTTTTTTTCTTTTAGACTGTGACTAGTCCTTTCTATATTGTTTTTATTCCATAGAGGTTATCACAAAAAAATGGAATTTCGCCAAGTAAAATTTTATAATTTTCCATGTTCTTGTCCATTCATTGCAATAAATTTTTCTATTACCATACTTTTTCATCATTATTAAGAAAACAAATTCAAAATTTTCTAGTTGAGTATCGAGAATATGAAAGTTGTGAACTGGGTACATTCACGTAACTTTTGCATTTTGTGTAATTGTATTGCTTTTACAAAATTGCACAAATTTAGTTAAAAATTTAACCAACGATTTCTGAGTCTGTTTCTGAAAAAACACACATGTGACAGTGTTAAAAGATCAATCAAGATCATTTAAAATTTCTTTTTTACTGGTTAGTTGTAACATGATTATTTATTAACAAAAATAAGTAATCACATTAAACACCAGTGTTTTCTTTAATCCATTCTCTGTAATAAGCTGTTCTTGTAAATCCAGAAGGATTTCCATTTTTACACCCCGTCTGACCAACGAAGCTAGCAATACCAACATGTAGAGGATCAGTATCAGCATTCAAAACTGCAGGGCCTTCAGTGTCGCCCTACAAAAATTGCATACACTATTTTTATCCCTTTGCACGTACACAAGATTATTCAAACCGCAACAGTGAACCGATATTTACATGAACTTTATTGCTGCCTACTGCATTTAATATTTTGAATAGTTTATGGTGTGAAAGTATCAATCAAAACAAGAGTGTTTTTATTGAAAGCCTCAAGGAAGTAGTATACCTACGCATGAACTAATTGTAAATTTTTTCAGCTTTTTGTGCAAATTGATGATGTCATGTTGCTAATTCTGTACACTTTTCTCTGATTCAGTTTTTAATTAGTATTTCTTTGATAAATCTCATTTCTTTACCAAATTTCCTTTGTCGTTCATTCTTTTTTCTTGTTCTGAGTTTTTTATTTCAAGTATTGTGTAATCGTAATTGCTTCTTGGTCGCTTTCCAACTCGTTTCAATCTTTTGTGTATTGTTTGTATTGTATTAGTTACTTCCTTAATTAGTGTTCCCTTTACAAGATTTTTTTGTTCTGTTAACTGCAGATACTATTTTCGAATCTCTGGTTGTATCCACTTCTTTCTACTTCTAAAATCATCCAAATGAGACTGTGAACCAGTTCTTTTAAGATTCAACCAGTTTTCTGTGTAGTCTATCCAATTATTTCTTCTTTAGCATCAATAATATCTCGTCAATCAAAGAAAATGAATTATACAGATTAAATAAATTGGATCTTTGATAAGCAGGAGGGGAGTGATCATAGCTGGAGTAGTGGAGTGCTCTCAAGTCTGAATAGAACTAGCATTTGAGACTAAACAAGGATGAGGACCATCAAGTTTACTATATCTTTATGGTTTAAGCCATTAAGTGCAGAAAAAAATAAACATTAAATACTTAGGATGTTGCTCTTAATCCGTAAGCACCTTCAACTATTTCAGGAAATTAACATTATTTTCACATTATAATTGGTATCTTGTAGTAATTTCTAGGTATATTGTCTGCGTGATGGAAATCTGAACCACGTGTTTGTAATTACCACTGCCTTTTCCTGACAGAATTCAATTAGTCTTTCACCTCTTCCGTTTCTTCGCCCCAGACCGTAACCGTACTCTCCCTTCGCCTACCTTGGCGGATCCCCCATAGATGTTAATATCATGTGGTCTCGCATTTTTATAAAATCACTTATTTCCTGATATCAACTTTCTGATTATTCCAAAAATATTTTCAGATATAGAAACAGAAATATTAAACGACCGGAAAAGTTAAATATGATACGAAACAGTAAAGTTTCATACAAATATTTGTGTACTGTACATTGATTTTTTTGAAGCAATGAACAAAAATATTATCTCTACTTACAATGCAAGCACCTTTAACAGGATCAGCACCTGCCGAAGTACACACCATGTTGTCAAGAATCGCATTTCCATAAATTTCCATACACTCGCTGTTAGTAATAGTGGTAACCGTGATATAATTTAAAAACGGATTTACACCATCTTCGCCTATAAAAAACACAACATTAAAAAATAGGTATATATTTCTTCTCATGCAGTGCCAAGTTTACCATCAGCAGTTACACCAAATCCACTAACTACAACCTCTTCCCCACCTTCTAGTGGTTCAGAAGCAAGAGCAATCGGCGCAATAATAGCTAAAATAATCAATGTATTAAATAGTTCTGTCAACCAAAAATTTATTCCCTACTATTAAAACTCAAATTTACTCTGAGCTTTATGAGGCCAATATCGTTTGCAAGAGTATTAGCGTTGTATTCTTCATGAAGAATAAATTCACTCGATAATATTACTTCAGGAACCATTACCAAATCTACGGTTCCTACATAAACATAGGCCAACTCTGCTCTTCAAAGTGTTAAATTTTCAGAATGGAAGCAATTTTTTGCTTGAACAGTTACCTATCTAGACAATGTGCAGCGGTGAGGATCCAGTATTCACTAATTATACTACCACCACAAAACCAAATCGTATCGTTAAAACCGAGGTCCACACCAACCTGCCACGGAAATTGTCCCAAAGTCGCATTTTCTCCATTAATAATTCTACCATCTGAAGTTTATAAACACAATTAGTAGTTGGTGAAAAAACTTTAATTGTCTGTGAAAACAACATCTCACTTACATGTTACTTGTAAAATTCCTGGTTTGACTTCTTCTTCTAGAGGAAAAACATGGCTTAATAAAATACAGAAACATAAGGAAATAACTACAGGAATCATTTTGGTTATTTTTTATACACCTATTTATACTATTTCAGTTAACAAATGTCAATAATCTTTCAATTTGTTACGCTACAACTTAGAGATAGCATTTTTCTTTTTTTAAGTGGAAGCATAAGATAAGTTCAGTGACTGATAATATTTTTGACAAAAACACAAAATAAACAAAACACTTATTAATATAAAAAACAAACTAAAGACCTGGTATTCAAACGTCTACTGTGCGTTAATAATAGGCAAACATTTCAAATAAAAAAAACTTTATTGATGTTTTTTCAGAGCAGTAATTGTAAACATTATGATTTATACTAAAGTGGCACTGTAATATAAATACAATTTTGGTAATTAGCTGGCTGATGTTATGCACCACTCTTTTCTTTAATCCATTCTCTGTAATAATCAATTCTTGTATATCCAGATGGATCTCCGCCTTCACATCCTGCACGACTAACAAAAATGTTAACAGCCACAAGAACTGCATTAGAATTGAGATTTGTTACCGCAGGCCAACCACTGTCGCCCTTTAAGATTCAAAATTTCTCTTAACTATTATTGGAGTAATTTGTTTAAACTTACAGAGCAAGGACTCTTAACTGGAGCACTTCCAGCTGAAGCACACACCATTTCTTCAAGTATAACATCTCCATAAATTTGCCTGCACTCAGTATTTTCAATGGTAGTTACAGTAACAAACTGTAACACAGTACTATAGTCACTGTCTAAAATCATTCAATAGGAAGAAAAATGTGTGAATCCTGTTCCTTTACAGTCAGAAGTTTGGCCGAAACCACTCACTGTTATATCCACTCCAGCATCAAAAGGACTAGAAGCCAAAGCAATTGGTGCTATAATATCTTAAAGTAATTATTAGTTTATGTAATCCGGGTAAAAGAGCATATTTTTAAATGCCAATCCGATTCTAAGCCTTGCAAGACCAATGCCGTTTGCCAAAGAAGTTTCGTCGTAATTTTCATGGACAATAAATACATCCGCGTACACTATTTCAGAAACTAGATCAAAGTCTACAGTACCTACATACATCGTAGCAATTATTCCCCTTAAAAGTATTATACATTTAACAAATCTATTATTTCTCCCAGTTTGGTTTATTACTCATCTACACAATGCGCTGCTGTTAGTACCCAATTCTCGTTGATAATACTGCTCCCACAACACCTTGCATAGCCAATGGTGGTTACACATACGGCTACTTGCCAAGGAAACTGTCCTAAAGTTGCATTTTCTCCGGTAACAATTCTGCCGCCTAAAACGTCTTCAATTTTATTAAATTATATACAAATAACATTAACAATTATTCTTTGTACTGATTTCTGTTAAAATGTATAATATAATCTCAGTTTTTCAAATTGTAACTGTGATAACACAAATTTGCTGAAAAAATTTCATCGAAAAAACAAAGCAATAAAATTTCGTAAATTAATTCAAAATTTACTAAAAGTGCAAAATCTGAAGTTAATTCTATGTACCTTTAACTTACTCGTCTCACGCATGACTACATTTTGAGATAAGCCATTTTCAGTGGGTGAAGCGTCACTCAGTAAAGTGTAAAAACACACATAAAAAATGTACTGCAACATTTTAAAAATACGCTATTTCCAAACTTGTTAATAAATTGGTCGCTGCTTTTTTTTAAATAAATAATCTACCTTTATACTTTATTTGTATGTACATACTTATTTATTTTTAGTCTATGAGATAGACAGAAATTTATATCGATGGTACTTAAATTAATGCTCTTATCTATACCTAGTACTTGTCCAAGTTGTAAAACAATGCGCCCAAATTTTGAACCACTCATGTAATACGACTATATTGTGAATATTGTTTTCATTTCCGTTCCATTGGAAAAAAATATAACCTAATAATTGTTGATGTTCGAATTTCATCATGATTAATTTTTTAAGTAAAATAAGGAAGAAGATATAGCTGTCTCCTTTTTTAAATTTTAAACCCAGTTCTATTTAAAAGATCAAACCTAAGTTGCGATGATATTGGTACCACCAGTCATAGAAAATAAATGTAAAAAATCTTAAGACCCAGTACAAAGCGCACTTCATTAAGAATGAAAATTGTTATATGATACATCTTGCCACTCAACCTTGAAAGGTATTTAGAAATTTGCAGGGAACTGCAAATCACAACCAATAGCAGCTCCATATTGTGACTTTAACGACGCTTGCCTTATTTTTAAAATTAGTGCTGCACTCTAAAATTTTTCGTGAAAATTAAACGTCCTTTAGAAATTCAGATAAAATTTAGCAGAAGTGACACGATAAATTTCACATTACAAAATAAAAAAAAATATTTACGTGCACACACAATTTTTGGAATAAACTTTTTTAAAGCGGTACAAAAGGAGCAAAAACACACGTACAATATATGTGGCAGCTTCTTGAAATATTACTAAATTTTCTATATCATCGCACTTTTATTTATGAGCTTGTCACAGCATTTTTTATTTAAAACAAATATAATGTGCTTTTTTTTACAAGCGTAAAACAAGCCAGATGTACGATTCTATTGTTGCAGTTGCAACAATAGAATCGTATCAAAACTGATAAAAAATAGTTGTTTTTATCAGTTTTGATTTTTATTATTTCATAACATCACGAATTTGTACGTTTTTGAAAAAAATCTGTGGTCTAATATCTAAGCTGAACTATAAAATTTGTTGGTGAAAAGTCCCTTTTTTGTGTAGTTTTAGTATGACTTTAATATGACATTTTAATAGTTCTCAAACAAAACATGAAGATGTACAATGTTTTTACTTCCTGAGCGTAAGCTAATTGCCACTTTAATATGTTCTCAACCTCTAGAGTATGAAAAGAGTGGTCTCCCGTTTCCATCTGACGTCGGTATCCATTTTTATTACACGTAATCTCCAAAACTACCGAACTGATGGTTGTCACATTTTGGACTAAATGGGATATAATAAATGGTATGACGTCATGTCCAAAATTTAGAATAGTAAGTTTTTTAATTTTACAAAATAAGATACTCCTGCACTTGTGATGTGTGAATCCGTGTCGAATTTTCACCCTAGATATTCAGCTTTTGGAAAAAAATTCAAAATTGTATAACAATATTTTGCATTTTAACTTTGAAACTGCAAAACCAACTGCTCTGAAATCTTGTAAATAGTTTAAAGTTATCGTAATCATGGTAAATCGTTAAGCAGAATTTAGTGGTTTACCCTTCCCAAAAAATTGATGACGTCATCTCAAAATTTTGCCGATTAAATCCTCCCTGAAATATGCAAAATGTTATGACTTTATACTTGTGGTTTATCAACACACTCACAGATTTCAGAATTACTTATACATGTCACTCAAAAAATTAATGAAAGATTTAATTTATTTTGTTGATTAAATCAGAAACTGCACGACCGAATGCTTTGAAATCTAGCAAACGTTTTAAACTTATCGCATGGTAATTTTTTAATCAAAAGATATCTGTTTATCCCCCTTAATAAATTGATGACGACATCTTAAAATTTTGCTGAATAAATCCTACCAAAATGTATAAAATATGGTGAATCTATACTTGTGATTTATTATTGCATTTTCCCGAAAATTTATTAATTCAATATCATTGTCAGTAGTATTACACTGCACCTATCCAAAGTGATATATGTATGTGTCTTTGCAAAAATATTGTTCGCCTCTTCACAAAATTTTGGTAAGGGTAAAATCGTTTGGAACGTACGTGTAGCACTTTACTGTACTTACACTTTAACGTTACATACATATCTTTATTTTAACTTATATTTAAGTGTTTTGTGGAAAAGAGATTTAGTCACTTGCAAACTTTAATATCCATTTTACGTTCACTGCTTACTTTTTGGACAGTGGAATGTCCAACGCTTGAGACTACTTCTGTTTGTTTTACTTATTAATCATGTTAATGTCTCATATATCCCAATAATATTAAAATTTCAAATTACAAGGAATGTTTGGAAATACAAGAGTTTCATGACAGACAGACAACTAAATATAAGATTGTGACATTTTCTACAACGAAGAATATTATAAACTTTTTTATACTTTTAATGGCTGTTCAGCACAGAGATGCCTAGAAACTAATAATGACGTATCTGTTACTGTGAATGCTCAATTACGTTAGTTAATCACATTGATAAAATACGCTTGTCAGCAATGAAATGACGTAATTTCACGAATAGATTCAAAACCATATATTACAAAGTCCAACACAATGTATATCTTCTAAATATCGTATTAACCAGAATCATCAAAGCCAGCCAACCAATATTATATTATAAATGTAGGGAGGCGTATTAGATTTGTCTTAACTATCTTTTCAGTACTGTAACGAAGCGAATTTTCGCGAAAGCCGGGGGTAAATTGGCGATCTCCGCGCCGCCGCGGCGGAAGAAAGAGGACTCTTGCCTGCAACTTCAAGGAGTGCGGAAGTGCTGGGGCTGTTTGAGTGATTTTGGGTGTTTTTGAGAAGTTTCGTTTGAGAAGCCTGCAGTTGACCCTCCGACCCACCGTAAGTACCTTTTTGGGTCGTCTGCCCGTCTTAGTACCGGTTTTGGAATCGCCGCCCCCAAGCGAGAAACCGTGTCACCGTCACCGCGTTCTTTTTGTCACCGTCGAAAGTCGACACCGTCGTGCACGCGTCGTTACCATCACCGCGCTCCCCTCCCGGGTCGCCGTACCGTCTTCGCGCGATTTCCAGGTTCAAGGTCGCCGCCCCCAGAGCCCGGAGGAGCCCGGCCTGAAGGAAGTCGCCGCCCAGGAGGAACGACCGTGCCGGACGTTTGATTCTTTTTGTTTGTAAAACCGTTTTGTTAGATACTTAAGTTGCTTAGCCGTAAGATTTATTATTTTAGACCGTGTAGCTGGTGGCAGGGAATAAACCCTATTTTTGTTATCACACATCCTCGCCGTTTTATTTATTATTCTCTAGTTTTCGCGGCGGCTCATCACCTGAATTCCGTGTCTCCGGCTTTAGAGCACCCCGGCGCTCCCTCCCCCGGAGAGGGAGCTGGCGCCCGAGCGACCGTCGCTCCTGACCGAAGGCGCCACCCCCGGCGGCGTGAAGGTAGCCGCATAAGCTTGGTCGACCAGACGTGTTTCTGACATCAGCGATACTAGTCGACCCAAAGCTTGGCACTCAAGTACGCCGCCACCCCATACGTTATCGGCGAGATTCCGGACCGTCACCGGACCGTCCGTCCCATCATCATCCGGAATTTCGTCGCAGTACTGTTATTATAATTCCCCATTAATTCCTTTTTTTGTATCCAGTGTGGACATTAAATGGCTTCCCGACAAATAAATTTTTTATTGTTATTAGACAATTTGGAGCAATTATATATGAATTCTGTACAGAACGTACATTTATGCTTAGATGACAATAAATAATACACAGAAAGATTTGGATAGCTGGATAACGAAATGTATAACTCTAGCAGTATTTTTTCAAATTATGTATAGAGTCAAACTAAATTTAAATTTATAAGCTTTATATACCCCTATTTTCCTTAATCCAATTTGTGTAATAATCTAGTCTTGTATACCCTGAAGGATTTCCACTTTCGCATCCTGCATCACTAATAGAAATAATAATTAATGGCTGCGAGAACTGAGTTATAATCAACGTTTGTTATTCAAGGGTCACCACTGTCTCCCTTTAAATGAAAAATATTTTCCTTATTAATGATGAGGTCCTTAAAACATGGTGTTAACCTTGTAGCACAAGGACTCTTAAAAGGGTCACTTGTTGATGCGCACACCATTTATCTTATCAAGTATAGCGCGTACGTAAAGACTGAATTGCTATTTTAAAATTGCATTTATTAATAAATATATATTTAGCTCCAAGCTAAAGACCAGTAGTGTCCCGGATCCACTCTTCAAAATTTCCAATTCTCGTAAACCCTGAAGGATCGCCACTTTCACACCCTCTGTCGCTTACAAAACTGGCAATACCAACAAGCACAGGTTTACCATCAGTGTAAACTATAGCGGGACCACCATTATCTCCCTAGATAAATTTTCAATGCGTACAAAAGCACGTGCGACAAAATTAACATTCTTACAAAGCAAGTGGCTTGAAGAACATTTCCTGTCGAAACAGCACAAACCATCTCATCACGGATTGTATCCTCTCCATATGTTTTCTTACACTCAGTATTATCAATAGTAGACAAAGTAATGTAAAACAAAGAGGAAGATGGACCGGCACCACCATATTCTACAATAAACGTCAAAAAATGAAACACCCAAGATATTGTATGAAGCTTACCATTAGTGGCCCCCCACCCACTCACTGTAATATTGAGATTAGGACCTAACGGTTCCCAGCTCAGATCTATGGGTTTTACGTTATCTATAAACCAATATTAGCAGTCAATGTGGTCTCGTGCTTTCAAGTGTACCGTTAATTTCAAGAGGTTCTTCCAAATGAAGGAGTCCAATATCGTCTACCAGAGGATGGGATGAGTAACCACTGGGGTGTCCCATATCGTACGCAAATGACCGTAAGTCGCCCCTGCTATCATTGACAGATCCTACGAATGCATCAACGCTGACGAACTCACTTAAAACATTGAAATAAAATCAACTGTGTAAACGTTCTTCACTGATTATAAGTACAAAGCTCCGCAATGTCCCGCAGTGAGGACCCAATCTTCTTTAATAAGTACACCACTGCACTCCCATTGTGAAGTCAAACCATAGAAAGATAAAGCCACTTGCCAAGGAAACTGACCCAAGTATGCTTGGTTACCGTTTAAAATTTGAGGTTCTAGATTAAAAAAAAAATTCTAGTAATGTAAGTGATCTAACAAGGTTTAACTTACGTATGGATTTATAAGGTAATGATTTGGTTGCAGTAGTTTCAAAAAATATAAGGGTAAGTAGCATATACAAAGTTCCTGATGACATCGTTCTATATTGATACTTTATACTAAAATGGTGTCAGTTTTTATTTTTCGCTTTGATTTGTTTAGTGAGATTAGATTACCTACCTATGTACAATAATAAAGTGCTCAAGATAGTAATATTTTAGGTATTTACTAATTTTAGAGTAAAAATTTTTTTTAAGCTGTCAGAAACAATCCCTGAAATTAGAATGTAAATTCAGTGTCTTCTAAACTCCAGTGACTGATCTAATCCATTCCCTAAAGTTCGCAATTCTTGTAAATCCTGAAGGATCACCTTTCTCGCAGCCTCTGTCACTTATAAAGCTAGATATACCAACAAGAGTAGGACTTCCATTTTGGTACACTACAGCCGGACCACCACTATCACCCTAAGCATGTCAGAATAGAATTATTGTTACTTATACTATCATTTGTGCGAAATCTTACGAAACAGGTAGCTTGAATTACGTTTCCTATAGGCAGAGCACAAAACATTTCGTCTCGGATGGTGCCTTTCCCATAAATTTGGTCACACTCAGAATTGTCAATGGTGGATAGAATAATGTAATTTAAAAATGGAGCTAAATCAGCATCATCTAAAATAAAGACTTATAGCACATCTGTTGGAACACAAAGATAGAAATTACCAGTAGTTTGTCCCCACCCACTTACTGTAACATTTACGTCAGAACCGAGTACTTCTGAATCCAAATCTATTGCTTTCACATTATCTGAAATTACATTCATTTAAAATCGCGTGTATTCTTTATTATTACCCACAGAAAACGTATAGCGGCGATTATTCCTTCTGAGGATTTACCACACTCGTTATCTTCATAAGTAATAGCCCCCATCACACACTTGTTGGGTAATATATACCTACCGTTAAATTCTAGAGGAAATATGATTTCTATAAGTGCAATATCATTTGCCATGGTCTGAGGATTAAAATCGTTGTATGTAATAAAGTTAACACCAAACGTAGAATCGCCACGATTCTCCCAGTCTATAAAACCAGAATATACGTCGCTGCTGAGAACTTCCCTGCAAAATATTGGTGACAATAAGGTAACTTTCATGTAAAATATTAGCTACCAAGTCATTCCACAATGTGCAGCAGTTAGAATAAACTGTTCGCTAATTATAACACCACCACACCACCATGTTTCCACTTCTCCAAAAAAATTAATAGCTACCTGCCAAGGAAACTGTCCCAAGGAGGCTTGGTCACCATTAACGATTTTCGGCTCTAAAGTAAATAAGTTTCGTTATTACTTATTAGCTTATTACCTACTTAAACTCATATCATTTTAAAAATGACACACTACGCACTTATATTTTTATTAGAAACTAATGCAGCTATACTATTTTCCCATAACAAAAGAGTAAACGGGAGCCAAAATCTTAGACTGAACATTGTTTTGTTGTTAAAATACTCGTAGCATAAATGTATTTTGGATTGTTCTAACTGTTTTTAAATCATCGTTTTTCTTCAAAACACTACACCGATATATACGTCTTAATTCTAATTCGCTATCAGAGATTGTATAGCACTTCAAATGATACGTAGACGAATTCTAGTCGGAAATTCACTATCTCGAGTCATGGATCTTTTTCCTGGTAACGATAAAAAATGTAGAAATTATTCGGTTTTTTTTTAAACGCAAGACCTCTTGACAGTTACTCTCAAGCGCTTGCCCATTTGAGACAATATTTCAGCAACTTTAGCTCTCCGAGCTCTAGAACATACTATTAGACAATACTCTCAGAACTAGGTCCACTGCATAATAGCTGCATTTGTAAGGAAACGAGCCACCTTTACTCCACTAACAAATAATTAATTTATAATTGTATGCGATTTTACCTAATGTATAACAAATTTATCACTCCATATGAAATCGCGGTATGTTTTTTAAAGTACTATTTTTTTATCTGCATTCTTAACGTTTCTGCAAGTAAATATGTTCAATTCAAGTTTAACAAAGTCATTTTTATGATTTACCTTATAAAAAGTAAAAGTAGTTTAGTTGTTCCATGGTTTAAATTAGTGTAATGATTTATTAGGTAGAGATTTGTTTTATAAAAATAACAAACGGAAATCGAAACATGGAGGTTTAATAAAATGAGTAATATGAAGCTAATTAATGCTTAGGACCACGTTTAACCCTTTGTTCATTCAAGCTTTGCCATAATAAAATGTTTACTCTAAGAGAGCACTAACGCACTGCGAAACTTGTCCATGTCCATATTGTGAAAGTCTCTCTCAAGTAGGCGGAGAGATCATTCAACTCTCCGAGAGTTGCTCTCACAGGTGTCGGCTTTAGAGAACAACTTTCGAGCGCTCATCTCCAATGTATTTCGCTGAAACTTCATGAACAAAACTACGATGGTGTAATTGTACAAATCAAAATATTAAAAGTTTTCTCTAAAACATGTATACATATTGAGCCATTCATGATTTAAATTTAATACTCAACGTTAAAAGAGTGGCTTGTTTTCAATCTGAATAATATTTAATAAGCGAACACTTGTCGCAAAATGAGTATTTCGAAGATATTTCTTTTCATCACTTTTTCAAAAATAAGATCTTAAAAATTAATTCCGTAATGGAATTAACTAAATGTGGTTATGTAATAAAAAATGTTCTTCTTGCACTAGCTTCAACGAAATTATTATAACATGTGTTTCACTCACAATACCTGTTTCAGTGGCTTCACGGAAAATATTTTTTCAAAATGAAAAATTATGACTTAAATATATTTTTTAAGAAACACAATAAGATGAACACAGATTACCTCGCCATATATTATATCGATTGAAAAGGAAATGGCCAGAATATGAAATTCCATTCAAAAGGATTTTCATTTCCCCGATACGAAATCGGTTTTAGATAGAGTATGTAATAGTAATTTGCACAACAGGTCGTATCGTTGCAATAAAAAAGTAGTCGGCGTGCATCCAATACCTACCATAAATTATTTATACACCTCATTAAACGTTGCCGTAATGCTAAAATTGGTGTGATTATGTTCAATGATGTTACATTGAATCTCGTTTTCCTGACAACTTAATTGTAGTTACTATATATTAAAACAGGAAAAAACTAGCATATCACGAGCTGATTCACAGATGATAACACCCACATAAACGTACCATACAGACGATAAAACAGAACCGCAACTAACAAAACTGTACTTTATTTCCGGTATTTCAGGTTAATGCGAAATAAACACCCGTGAATCTTCTAAACGTGTCTTGTTTTTCCAAGAAATATAAGATCCTTAGCAATTATGTCCGACTTGTTCGTTTCTTGAACTTTACTTTAAAGAATGTATTTACGGGCATTCCGTACTTTTGTTATATTCCAGCAAGGCTGTTAATTGAGTTCCTCAAATTTCTGTTACCTTTTAACCTTTGGTGTTTGTATTTAAAAGTCCGTGACTTGTTCGTCGAAGGTTGTAACTGGATAAGGAAATGAGAAATAAAACTTTGAAATATTAAAAGGGAATGAAACACATCATGAAAGTTAATAATTAAATAATAATTAATTGTAATAAGCGGAAAACTCTTGGAATTTTTTCCTAGTAGTACTTTACTTTTAGAAAAATTAAGACTTTTAGGATACTTGTATTTACACATTTAAAAATTAATATAGTGTAAATTAGTGTATAAATGAATCAGAAAGTAAACAAAAAATCTTGAAAACGCTTCATTTTCTTTGTGAATGTAACACAGTTGCCTTTAAGGTGTCAACTGAATTGAATGTTGAAATAACCTTTTGTTCGCGACCTATAAATTCTGAAAAATTAGAATTTAAACTGATTACGTGTGTTGGTGTCGTAGTGCATATTAATATCAACATTGTACAATAATTGTCGAGAATGAACGAATGGTAAGCATTGGATAATTTATTTAAACACGGCCCTATAAGGGTACGCAGTTTATAAAAGCCACTCGGCTGTCATTTCTATGGGAAAGACGTTCCAGGAAGCTCTATATACGTTCTTTGGAATGCAAACGTTTGGCAAACGTGCAGAATCGACTCATAAAACAATTCCACAGCTTTAAAATGCTTTCATGTAGGTATGACAAACGGTTAGCTGAGATTTTTGAGATGCGGTATCGCATAAAGGTCACAGTGAATTTTTTTAAGAACTTCCTTTGAAGTGAAATTTATGGGCTCTCCCATTCAATTTGAAATTGCCTTCTTCCTAAAGTTTAACTTAAAAGCAGCGTAGTTTTTCCAAAATGATCTTACAAAGCGCTTTTCAAACTTTTTAATTAATAGGTGCGGTGTATGAAAAATCAAACTACAATTTTCTCAGGCATTTTTGAACTTGTAGTATCATCAGCGTGGAAAGTAAAAATTATCACCTGTAACCTGTAGACGATGTATGATGTTTTTATCATTTGTTTTAACATATCTGCAGATGACTTTAAAATTTACTATGTAATCAGTTGTCCAGATGATGTCGTACATAAAATTATATGATTTTAAATGTGGATAGTTACTTTATCACTATTATCAGTAATAATATTGTTGAAACTCCCACCTTGTTTCCAGATTATAAACTGCATATATGTACATTGTACATACACTACACTATATTCTTAAACAGTTGAAGCTGAACAAAATTTTCAATGGATTCAGCATGAAAATGGTTTACATCTTGTGACATAGTCTTTCAAATCGTCTCCGTAACCCAAGGGGCAACATATAATTGTACAGACTATAAAAAGATATTATATTATTTATTTAAAAACAAAACATAATCACACTGCTATGTTACATTTCTTGCATGTTATTATATTTAAAGTAAAGCGTGTTCTAACAGGGACCATTTGACGTTTTACGTCTTGTATAATATGAAACATTCCGTCTTCTATGTCTGTCTGTCGTCTACCTACTCTTTTAAATACGTGATCCTCGAAACTCTTAGATACTGATAGAATTTTGTACGTTAAGAACATTGTTTAAATACGTAAACGCTAACCAAAATGTGTTTATTTATCTCTGAATTTTCCTGGGAAAATCATGTTTGAAGTTTCTAAAATAATATGGTTATATATATTATATACTTGTGGTTTATTACTTCATCCTTTTTAGCTTAGAGATCTGGATCCAGATAAGTTTGAAAATGTATTTAGAAAATACAAATTCGGCTTGTAAACTCATTACGGCTATCGTACACATGGGGAATCGGGAAACAAAATTTCCTTCCAAAAATTTAATTTGATTTCAATAATAATTATTTATTCCGTCCAAAAATTTAATTTGATTTCAATAATGATGTCACTTCAAAATTTTACTTGATAAATCCTCTCTAAATAAATAAAAATTGGTCTAAAGAGTTTAGACAGTACTTCCCTCGCTGTCGGAAACTTGACGACTGCATGGCTATTGTGTTTTTTTCTCATTACATTTTTGTAGTGGGAATTTAAAAAAAATTGCGATGACGTCATCAACATTTTTCCAAGGACACGTATATCAGTTGGGATAGATGTAGTGTAATACTAAGAATAAAATTATTGTATTCCCAAATTTTCGGGAAAATGAATTGGGTCGTTTTGAATATTGATTTTTTATAATCAATAAAATAACGAAACAATTTACTCACGTATACGGCAACTGAAAATCGTTTATGTATAAACATTCTTAATTTAAGATGACAAGCGTAACAGCATACGTGAGAGTCAAACAGAGAAACTGTAAACAAAACGACCATCGGTTTTATTGCTTCGACTTCCGCTTATTATATAAAACATTGGGTTTTATTTTAATTCTTGACGGTGAAATTCACAATTGGTTGATTATAAACATGTCTATTTCACATTCGCGGAACCAAGTGAGCGCATAACACAAATGCAGGTCTGTAATGTTAAAGTCGATGTAAATAAGCGTGCTACCCTTATGTTTCAACCGAGTTTTTCCTTTAACAAATTTTGTGTCTACCAAATTGGGTTGGTTGGGGTGTAATACTAATAATAAGTGTTGCCTTTAATTTAATCAATAAAATAAATTGACTTCATTAATTTTTTTGAACCACCTCTTAAGAAAATCTAAAAAATATGAATGGAATGATAAATCACAAGTACAAACTCATCATATTTTTTGCATTTTAGACAGGATTTATTCAGCAAAATTTAAGGGTGACGTCATCAATTTTTTTTAGGAGGGATGAACAAATACATTTTGAACAAAAGTTTACCATGCTTATAATAACTTTAAAATATTCCCAAGATTTCAAAGCATTCGGTTTTGTAATTCCTGATTAAATCGATAAAATAAATTCACGCCTTCATTAATTTTTTTGAGTCACCCTGCATATGCAAATCCAAAAATATGAATGGAATGATAAATTACAAGTACAAACTCATCATATTTTGTACATTTTAGATACGATTTATTCGGCAAACTTTTGAGCTGACGTCATCAGTTTTTGGTAGAAGATAACCAAATATATTTTGACTAAAAATTTATTATGCTCTTTATAACCTTAAAACATCTGCAAGA